GAACAATTTATTTGACCCACTTTTAGAAAACACGGCGGCCTCGGTGGGATTCAAATAGCAAGGGAAGGGTTAGTAAGCCAACACTAGCCAACTGAGCTATAAGCTCCCCACCAGGAGTTTAATCACAATTGGCAGTCAGCTTACTGTATCAGAATTGGTGGATTCAATACGTTGCAGTTGCCTGGGTAGGTGCCTCTACCTAGGTGTGATGAAACTCATAGCTTCCGGTGGCGCCTCGTAGCCCAAATAGTTAGAACTTCGGCTGTACTAAGGCCTTCCTACTAATTCCCGTAATTCTTAGTATCGTAGACTTGTCGACTTCAAGGGAGTAATATATGATTACGGATAGAAGTGAAAAGGCAAGTTTCGCATACTAGTTAAAAAAAAAAGAAAATGCGATAGTCTGAATAATTATAATCTTCTGGCTTTTGTGGTTCTCTTTAGAACCTATCATCGTTGGTGACAGTCGATGATAAGTGTCTGATACCTTCTCTGATAATGGATTCGGCTGAGAACCGGAGAAACTAATACTTAGTGTGAATAGCACCGTTCCAATAGCCGTTCCCTGTATTATAACTGTTAGTTAGGACTTAACAGATGACGCTTACCTGTTCCATCGTCTTAAGATTGTCGAACAATATCTTTGAGAAGCAGCTGTATTTGTAACTTGCGCACCTAATACAAAAAAAAGCACTGTTAATGGTCACCCGCATACAGCGAAGACATTTCCATTATGCTACCGAGCGCCACAAAAACTGGTCAATCAAATGCACTTAGTACGTGTTTAGCGCCACAATGGCTTGGCTAAGCAGTCCCCCTCAATGGAACATGAAGACTTAATTCCATAAGTTTTGCTGTCACTATTGAATATAAGAAGCATACCCCTAAGAATACCTGACGCTTCCTTACAAACGTTGATCCCTCCTCATTTCTGTCTTCACAGTGGTTTTCTGTATGTGCAAACGGTACTGAGGTGCGTGACTGTGCACACCCTGTCCTCTGAGAAGTGTTGTATGCACACATTTTGGCAGAACATTTTTGTGTTCCGCCGTCTGTTCCTTTTTTTGACACTGACTCACCTCGCTGCGCGTTGTCCTTAGCATTCCCGTTCAGGTTTCTGTTGATACGCTTGCTGTACGCCTTTGAGTTGCGTAAATGCACTTGTATTCGGGTTGCAACATTACTTATTGCGCAGCACAATTCTAAGATATTTCAGTCATTTCTGACTCCTGGCCATTCGAAGAGCTCATTTCCTGCCGCCTGTAAAAATTGCACTCTGTACAACTGATTACTTAAGTAGTGCTGCTATTATTAATTCCAAATATATCTTCTATAAAACATACATAAAATATACATTCTTGTACTCTTTTAGTAACAGAGTATCTGCATTTTTCAAACTCCATACTTACTAAAATGACATCTTTCGATTTAAAAAAACTTCTTAAATTCCCGAATAATACTTTCGGGATTATGCTGCAGGTTAATTAAGGTCAGAATCCTAATTAAATAATACTTTCGGAGCGAAAACACATTAAAAGATTTCTGTTAGCATTTCATGGGATTGCTAGCAGCTTCGCCATCGTTTTCTTCGCATATTCTATTTTCCAAACTTTTGAACTATTCACGTTATCGTTGTTTTTCTATTTTCCTGCGTCATATCCCCACCATCTCCCATACTTCCTTCATCTACCCTCCACCCCCTTTCCCCAAATTTAATCCGTTCCCACTTGGCTCTTGTAAATCGTGTAGGTGCTTTTATCCAGACATTCCTCTCTCTCCTATTGTGTATCAACAATACCTCCTGTTCTTTATTTTCCAGGTATTTTCTAGTTGGCGTGTGAAGGCCCACATGGGATCGTCCGCCGCGGGCACTGGTTCTCAGGGTCCTTCTGGTACTGGCGGTGTCCCTGACTTACACCCCAGGAAGAAAGCCTCCTCTGTGTTTTCTCCAGGCCAGGGTTTGGTAGGGGAAATTCACAACAGTATTGTACTGCCGGCTGTTGCGGAGATCGAGCGCAAGTGAGTTCTTTGAAGGCTGGGCCTATCTCATTTCCCCTCCTACTCATATGTTCGTGACCTAAAATAGAGCTGATAATGGCTCTCTTTTGCAAA